CAGCATGGCTGTGAAGTGTCACCAGGGCTACGTGCGGGTCTCGCTAGGGCTGTGTGGTGTCATCAGGCATGCGTGCGGGTCTCGCTAGGGCTGTGCGGCATCACCAGGGTTGCGTGCGGTCTCCCTAGGGCTCTGTAGTGTCACCTTTGCTGCATGCAGGTATCACTAGCTGTGCGGTGTCACCAGGGTTGCGTGCAGGTCTTACTAGGGCTGTGCGGTGTCACCAGGGCTGCATGCAGGTCTCACTAGGGCTGTGCGGTGTCACCAGGGCTGCATGCAGGTCTTACTAGGGCTGTGCAGCGTCACCAGGGTTGCATGAAGGGTCTCACTAAGGCTTGTGCGGTGTCACCAGGGCTGCATGCAGGTCTTACTACGGCTGTGCAGCGTCACCAGGGTTGCGTGCAGTCTCCCTAGGGCTCTGTAGTGTCACCAGGGTTGTGTGCTATTCTCCCCATGGCTGCTCTGACGTGTGTGGGTCTTACCAGGGCTGTTCCGGTTCTCACCATGGCTGCGCAGGCGCGTGCAGGTAGCGGGAAAGAGGATGAGAAAATGTGCAGCCCCCGCAGGTCCCCAGAAAGTTGGGAACCTCAGGCAGCCACTCATGTTTAAAAATGTAAATTGTCGGTGTCCGCGCATAGTATCGGGGCATTTTCACGAGTACAAGTACTGGCATTGTTATTGGTGCATTCCTAGAAGTGAGGACCGAGCGAGCGGATTCTATGCAGAACTTACAAAGCTTTGTGGGAACCTCAGGCAGCCACTCATGTTTAAAAATGTAAATTGTCGGTGTCCGCGCATAGTATCGGGGCATTTTCACGAGTACAAGTACTGGCATTGTTATTGGTGCATTCCTAGAAGTGAGGACCGAGCGAGCGGATTCTATGCAGAACTTACAAAGCTTTGTGAATTTAACACTTTCAGGTCCAGAATAGGAGGAATCTCTCGGTTGGGTTTGGGAATCATAACCAGGTTGAAAGAGAATCCCGGGAACCTTTCCGGTGGAGGAACGGGCATAATGAGGGTAAGAGCTGCAGCAAGGTCTTCTGCAAAGCTTCTGCCCTGAGAAGGAACGCAGGAAGATTGGAGTGCGTGATCCGGGCAGAGGGAATGGAAAGAAACTCTGTAACCCTGTGACACCACCAACTGAATGCACCGATCCGGGATTTCTATAGTCCATAGGGCTGAAAAAGCCGGATGATGTCTCACAGGTGGGGGCGCCGCTTCCCTGGAAAGAGGACTTGGTTCCAGTTTTGGTAGACTTAGAAGTCCAGGTCCTGTGCTGGGTACCTGGTTGGGGTTTAGAGGAGGTAGAACTAGAGGAAGGGCCCTCTATTGCTAGAAACTGACATTGATTTGGTGGAGGGAATGCTAGGTTTTCACTTGTTGGGTAACAAAGTACTTTTTCCTCCTGAACCTTCTTAATGACGCCACCTCAACCTTTACCAAAGACATGTTCTCTCTGCGAAAGGAATTCTCTCTAAATGTTTGTACACGCAGGTTCCCCAGAGCAATATTTTAGCCACAGAAACCTACGCATGTGGACGGAAAGTAGTCTGAACATAGACAGTTGGAGCATCATCAAGATCACCCACACAGTAACAAAGAGCCCCAGGTTCCAGCTTTTGCAGAACTGGACGGTCAGAGGCCACTGAATCATGAGCCATTTCTTATATCCAAATTGCTAAGCCAGGCAAAATTCTATAGCTACCACCGCTGGCTGAAGGGTAGGTCCAATAAAAGCAAAAGAAGACTTAAAACAGGCCCCTCCTCTAGGAGGCGGGAAATAACTGCCTCCACCTCGGGAACATCCTACTTTTTAAGAAAAATATCTACAAAGGGGTATTGCTGAGCAATCATTAGGGGGGTATGAATTATATTTCTGGAAGCTGCCAATCCACATAGTGGACGTCCTCTACCAGGAAATAAACTGGAGCAATCTTAGGGGGTTCGTCCTTCTAAAGAGATGCTGGATAATTCTTAAGATAATGCTGGACATCCTCCAGTCAGGAAATGAGGCGGAGCTCTCTCTGACTTGCTGCAGCTTCTAATGCACATTGTGAGAAGCTCCCAGTGTGCAGTGATATCAGAGGAAGAGGAGAGGAGCCGGTACAACTGTGCAAGACTGAAGGGGAGGCCGGAGTTTAGATTTAAATAAGCCGATCTTGCTGTTTAGTACAAAGTCCACTTTAAGAGGTACAATTAGCCTGTCAATCAGATTCCTATAACTGAAATGTTACTTTCTGGGTTGATGTTTTATAGAAGAACCCAGTCCATGGTATAGATATAATCCACCTTCAATAAATGTATGTAGCTGGCCCTTTAACAACAGAAGGAAAGTGATAGATTGTTTACATCTCAGTGTTATATTTTACACCATTTTCATCATCTGGTCTAAGAAATTTATTAGCATTTCTCTCACACCGCTCAATCATTTTATTTCAAAAATGAAAATCAAAACGTACATTTCCTTTTTTTTAATTCCACAAATAACACAAAAAATATATCCAATTATATTAAAAAATAAAAACCAGAAACAATCCACCCAACCCCCATAATAAACATTTCCCTCCACCTTTCCCGAACTAATGACAAGAAGAAACTACATTCCCCATCCGGTGTTCTTCCTTCACCACAACTCTACACCCCTCTTACAAAGTAAAATCGCAAACACTTCCCACACATAATATTTACATATATTCATATATCCCAATCCCCACCCCAAATTTATCAGGACATCACCCTCCCCCCACCCATTCCCTACAATATAACACACACTGCACTCTGCCTCCACTGTACAGCATTTTCCCCTAATTTTCCCCACCAGTTCCCATCAATTTTTCAGCTCGTGAAGTTTCCATCTTTCTTTTGCTTTGTTTCTATCCAGTTTTAAACACTCTCATATGAATGGGATTTAAGAAACCATGTACATTTTTTTTTCAGATCCAAAAAGGTGAATCCTTTGGGTAGATGCCTAATCCTAATCTGAATTTGTAGTCCACGTAACAACAGCAAAAATGTGCACAATCATTTCCACCTTCACGATGAGTCTGAGGACAGTCTGTAGATCTGATATTTTCCTCTCTCCTGTAACAGGATGAGAGCTCTGTTCATTCTTCAGTAAAATGGACTTTGTTCACATGTCAGCCATGGCTCCCATACTTTCTAGAACTGAGGGGCCTGGACTAGCAAGCGTGCAGATAGCCATTTGTTTATAAAGATCTAATGCAATTTCCACTTCTTCAAAAGCAAGCGAATCACATTGCCAAGAGTTCGCTATGGTGTGTTTGGTAGTAGTTAGAACATGGAACATGCATTTATGTTGGCGCTTCAGATGGCCCTCTGCTGGGTGATTAGGTAAGGCTTCTACTGGTTGCGCTACAATGACCCAAGAGACGTGAAAGGAGGCAGCTTTGGGTGCTGTTGGAAGGTTGTTACGCATAGAGTTATACTCTTCGTGCAAGAGGGGGCCAGCAGTTTGGAGTATTTTTTGTAGTACAACGGGGTGAAATTATAAAGGCCGGACTATTTGTTGATCCTAATAGAGTTAATGGCCCGAAATAGCTCAAGTACAGTCAGCGGTTCCTCCAATGAATCTCGAAAAGTCATGGGCATCGTGGGTAAGGTGAGATCTGACAAGGGTGGCATGACACTAGAGTCAAAATATAGGGTATAAAAGTAGCATTCAAACTCACTGACAATTTTCAAAGGGTCACAGGTCCCAGTGGTGGTCCGTAGGCACAGTGGCTTATGAGACAGGCCCACGCTAGAACCGAGTCTTGTTTATTGCCCTTGTGGTACAACTTATGGTTAGTGTATCTCAAGCTCTGGTCAGCCAAACAAGATGGTAATAGATTCAGGTTGTGGTTGGCTTTATCTAAATGCAAGGTCGGAAGTGAAGGTCGTGAAAAATGCAGTGTCCAATTAGCATAAATATTTCAGTGTCTCTCTTTTAAGGGAGGAAGCTAGGAGGAAGCTAGTTGGATACTGTGACCTCTGATAACAACATTGTGTGCTTCCCACAAAGTTAACCAGGAAACACGAGGGGTAGAATTATGGACTATAAACTCAGTAATCTCCAGTAGAATGGAGATCTGAGTTGATTCGGTATTGAGCAAAAAAATAATTCACAATCCATGTTGTATCAGTTTTAGATGCCCACAAGGACAATAAAGTCAGGGTCACTCCACTATGGTCAGTCCAGGGAAAAATCAGAATAGAGAAGTCTAAAACATTAGAAAAAAGGGTTGGGGAGAGAAAACAAATGTGGTCTGTCCTAGAAAAAGCATTGTGTGGGTGTGAGCAGAACGTAACACCTCCAATTCCTTCATTGCGGCTTAGCTTCTACTCCCCATCCTCAGAGTTTCTTCATTGCAACTGAAGGTGAAGATTTACAAAGGGATGGCTTCTTCCTAGTGTGAACCTTCCGATGTTTGAAAAGTTGTAACTGCAACCTAAAAGCTTTGCCACATGCCGGACACGGACATGGCTTCTCTCCAGTGTGAATCCTTTGATGTCTGTTAAGCTCTACCTTCATTGGAAAGGCTTTGCCACATTCAGAACACTGACATGGGTTCTCTCCAGTGTGACTTCTCTCCTTTGTAATAATATTTGCCTTCCATGTAAAAACATTTGTCACTTTCAGAACATTAATGTGGCTTCTTTCCAGTGTGGATACTCTTGTGTCTTACAAGATTACCACTCTCTGAAAAAGCTTTGCCACATTCAGAACATTCATATGGCTTCTCTCCATTGTGAATCCTCTCGTGTCTTATAAGATTACCCTTCGCTGCAAAAGCTGTGCCACATTCAGGACATTCATATGGCTTCCCCTTTTTGTGAAGCCCCTTGTGTGTTATAAGACTTGCCTTCTTAGGAAAAACTTTGCCACATTCAGAACATTCATATAGCTTCTCTCCAGTGTGAACTCTATTGTGTAAGATAAGTTGTGACTTGCATGTAAAACCTTTTCCACATTCAAAACACTGAAATTGTTTTTCTCCAGTGTGAACCATCTGGTGTAAAATAAGTTGTGCCTTACATGTAAAAGTTTTCTCACATTAAGAACACTGATACGGCCTCTCTCCAGTGTGAACCCTTTGGTGTCTTATAAGATTACCCTTCCCTGCAAAAGCTTTGCCACATATAGAACATGCATATGGCTTCTCTCCAGTGTGAAGCCTCTGGTGTCTATAAAGACTTGCCTTCCTAGCAAAAGCTTTGCCACATTCAGAACATTCAAACGGCCTCTCTCCAGTGTGAACTCTATTGTGTAAAATAAGTTGTGACTTGCAAGTAAAAGCTTTTTCACATTCAAAACACTGAAATGGGTTTTCCACAGTGTGAATCCTCTGGTGTAAAAAAAGTTGTGCCTTACGTGGAAAAGCTTTTTCACATTCGGAACACTGATGTGGCTTCTCTCCAGTGTGAACTTTCGTGTGTAAATTAAGTTGTGACTTACACGTAAAAAATTTATCACATTCAGGACACTGATATGGCTTCTCTCCAGTGTGAAGCCTCTCATGTGATATAAGGCTTGTCTTCGCTGCAAAGTCTTTATTACATTCAGAACATTTAAATGGTTTCTCTCCGGTGTGAAGCCTCTCATGTGATATAAGGCCTGTCTTCCCTGCAAAGTCTTTATTACATTTAGAACATTTAAATGGTTTCTCTCCAGCGTGAACTCTCTGGTGTGAAATAAGTTGTGACTGAAATGTAAAAGCTTTATTACATTCAGAACACTGATACGTCTTCTCTCCAGTGTGAACCTTCTTGTGTAAATTAAGTTTTGCTTTCTGTATAAAAGTTCTGTCGCATTCAGAACACTGATATGGCTTTTCTCTGGTGTGAATGCTCTGGTGTTCAATAAGACGTGTTTTTAATCTAAACGCTCTGTCACACTCTGAACACTGATGTGGCTTCTCTCCAGTGTGAATCCTCTGGTGTGCAATAAGTCGTGACTTATATGTAAAGGTTCTACCACATTCAGAACACTGATACGGCTTCTCTCCAGTGTGAACCCTCTGGTGTAAATTAAGTTTTGCTTTCTGTATAAAAGTTCTGTCGCATTCAGAACACTTATATGGCTTTTCTCTGGTGTGAATCCTCTGGTGTGCCATAAGATGTGTTTTTAATCTAAACGCACTGTCACACTCTGAACACTGATGTGGCTTCTCTCCAGTGTGAATCCTCTGGTGTGCAATAAGTTGTGACTTATATGTAAAGGTTCTACCACATTCAGAACAATAATATGGCTTCAATACATTGAGAACCTTCTGTTGTCTGATGAGCTTTGTCTCCATTGTAAAACCTTTGTCAGATTCCAAACAAGAATTGGCTTCTAAAATGACTTCTCTTGTCCTCTGATGTTGGATCAATGCTGAAGAATATCCAAAACCTTTATGACCTTCAGAACACTGATATGTCTTGTGTTATATGTCTTGTGTCCTGTGTGATGTGTCTTGTGTCCTGTGTGAATCTTCCAGTGAACTGTAGAAAACCCTTCTAGTCACTTAGATCACGTATATGGCTCGTCTCCGATATGACTCAATTGTGCTTATGAAGACCAACTTCGCCGAAAACTTGGCTCATCAATAAACCTGTACAGAGATAAAAAAATATATAAATTAAAGCCAAAACTCTATAAATATATTTATTATACAGAAATATGTACTGTACATGGTTAATGTTTGTTTTTTATAGAGGACACTATATTATTCCCCATAGTCCCATAGGTTGGTATAATAGACTGCTTATTACAGTTTTCTGCAGGAAAATCTCATTCTTTGGACCCATTCAGAGCATTGTGCTGCATTTTCTAGTCCCAGTAAACTGTATGATAAATCAGAAGCCTCATCTCTGTGATATTGGCACCGCGAGAATTTGGCATGGCTGCTGATTGTTGTAAACACATGGGCTCCCTGCACAGGATTAGGCGAGTACCTTGTTACATAGTTACATAGTATTTGAGGTTGAATAAAGACATTAGTCCATCAAGTCCAACCTATTAGGATCTCATTCTAGGAGTACCCGTACCCCTGTATGTTACCTGTACCCCTGTATATTACCTGTACCCCTGTATATTACCTGTTCCCCTGTAT